AAAAAAAAACAGATGAAAACAGAAAAAGGAAATCAAAGGGAGAAATAATAAAAGCTAAAAATGTGTCATCAAGTGCAATAACAACATCAAATGAATTTTTAGTACTAAATTCTTGCACAGTTTCAATATATCTGACAATCAATATCTGACAAATGAAAATAAAATTTAAAGATTCGACAAAAAATATTCGACAATATAAAAATTCAATAACATTATTATCTTATTAGTTTTTTTTTAATTTAAAATTTTTTAAAAATAAGAATTTGAAAAGAAAAAATTTTATTTTACGCTTTTTAATTATTTTCGAATGTAAAATAATTTTTTTAAATCAATAATTTGCATTTAATCAAGAATTGATTAAATTTTCTCTGTATTTAACAATTGTATTGTTAAAGTTATTATTGTATTTTAATTAAATTTAATTTTTTTGAAGATGAAGCTTTAAATTTAATTTAAAAGTAAAAAAAATTTATTTTCATTTTTTTCTTTTTATTTTTATATTTTATTCCTATCCAATATCATTATTAGATATAATTCAAAGTTCTATTAATAAATATTAATTATGTTCTTGAATTTAAAAATTTTTATTTTTTAGTTGTACAAATTTTATTTGCAAATATATAATATATAATAATATATTTTGAGATATTTTAATTGAAGAAATACAATTAAATTTACAAATTATTATAAAATATAATTCTGAATACGTACTATACTATATTTATATGTAACTTATTTGCAATATAAAGATGTATTTAATTTGCAATATAAAGATTTATATTATATAAAGATTTATACAAAATCATATATTATAACAAAAATATATATTATATGTCTATTTTTAATTAATTTCAAAAATTTCAAAAATATTTGATAATAATTTTTCGCTTTTTTAAATTATTTTTAATTATTACGTTGTCATCAATTTTTTCTTTTAATATTAATTAGAATAAATTAGAATAGAATATTTTCATACATATTATAATATCATAAGAATAAAATATTTAAAATAAATTTTTGTAAATAAAATAATGAATATAATAAAACAATAAATAGAACAATATTCAAATATTAATATCAATAAATTATATTAATTTAAAATCAATTCTTCTACGAATATATTAACATTATACATATATATATACATACATATATGCAATAATTTTTTTTTACTTAGAATATCATTTAAAAGTTATGAAATCAATGAAAATTCAATAATTTTTTAAATATAATTTTTATAGTATAAGATAGAACAATGGATAGTATAAACGGTATAAGATAGAACAAAATTTTAAATTATGTAATACTCTATCTATATATTTTATTATATACAATATCTTTAGAAGAAATTGCATCTAAAATTGAAAAAAATATTTTTGTAAATAGATTTTATATTATGATATTATTATATTAATCTAGCAAAAAAATTCCATATAGAACTCCATATAGAAAATAACCTAATAATATGCTAAATATAAATAAATTTTTAATAAAATCAGAAATTTTTTTGAAAAAATTCCTTTATACGAAACTATTTTTTTTTATACGAATACTTTTGAGTTCATATAGATTATACATAATATATATATAATAACTATATGATTTTGTACAAGTTTTTCCTAAAAAATTATTCCTTTTAATTAATATTATAAAAAATTTAAAAATAATAAAATTGTAAAAACTTATTGTTGATAAGTTTTAATATAATTTACCTTCTATTGAAATTGTATATTGTATTGTATTAGATGCAGATAATGATTTCGTTAACCAAGGACATGTTACTATGTATTCCAGTAAAACACTGGATTTCCACAATAATACAAAACAAATTTCAAGTATTTCATCTCTCACATTAGCACGTTTTATCAAATATCCTTCTCGAAGTCGACAACATAATAAACTGCTTAATGTACAAGTAACTTTATCTTCAATTTGTTTTTTTTGTAAAAGTTGTGTTGACTTTTGTTCGTAAAATAATAAATTTGTAGAATGCCAATTTGAATAATCTGGTATAATAAGATTACAATCTTTACGATATAATTGCCAACATAAAAAGTTTTTGTGATAAATATTCATTTCTGTTCCATTCATATGTACCTATAAAAATAAATTTACTATAATATAAAGTATATATTTGTTTAATCTTAATTTTTTATTGTAAAAAAATCAGAAATATAAACTTACACATGCATGTATATATAATATTATTATTTAAAAAATTTTTAAGTTTATTATAAAATCATAACAAAATATGAATAATATATTATTTCTTCCATATTATATAAATTCTATAAAGATACTGAAATTTTGAATATGAAAAGTGAAAAATTATTTATTATTAAAATTTAATAAACTTAAAAAAATTAGAATATTATATTAAAGTTTAAAGAAATGAAAAACTAATGAAATAATAATAAATAAATGTGTAATATGATTTAAATAGTAGAATATATTGCAATAAAATATCCATTTAATTTTGAAAATTAATTTTGAAAATTTTGATCATCAAAATAACAATTTTTTCATCATGTATATCTATTAATTATCCAAAACTTGGAAACAGTAAAGAATTTCACATAAAAATACTAAAGAATATGTATTAAACTTATGAAAACTTGTTAAATATATATAAACTTGTTATATATTAAAAATAATATATAATAATATATAATAATAATAAAAATATATTGAAAAATATATTGAAAATATACACAATATACAAAAAAAAATAAAAAAATCTTAAATAAATATAAATTCAAATCAAATTTTTGTTTCATAAAAATGATTATTTTTATTTTTAATCACTATTAAAGATATTTTAAATATTCTATCTAAATATTCTATTTAATTTTTTTTGTTAAGTTATCAATAAACATTCATTATAAATTTACAAGTTTAATTTCATAATATTTAAAAAGATTTTTTTTATTTATATAAATATGCTTTCAAATTTTTGAATATATATTTAAATGTAATATTTATAAATATAAATAATTATTTAACAATATTTGCAATAGTTACATTTATTATTTGTTCTGGGATAAAATTAAAAAACAATTAATATATTTAAAATATAAAATTTTTTATATAACTTTTTTCCGTAGATAATAAAATATATTTTTTTATATAATATCTGTATTTGAAAATTATTTATTTTGTTGTCTCATATACATATATTCTCAAATTTGATTTTTTCTAATTGATTCAAAAAATCTTTTTTTCAAATAAATTTATTTTCCAATAAGTTCAAATAATCAATGTTTTATTATATATCAGATAAGTTATAGATAATAGATAAGATACTGTAAATTGCTATCAACGTAAAGAAAAAAAAGAATAAATTATTAAAAATTTAAGTAAGAATAAATATAAATAAATGGAAAAAAATATCAAATATGTATTAAATAATATAGGAAAAAACAAATATAGAAATAGAAAAAATTTTTGAAAAAAAACTATAACAAATAGAAAAATCTACATGCAGTTCGTAGTAAATTTTACAAGAAAAAAAAAGAATAAAATATAACAAAAAATAAAAATAGATTAGAAATGATTGAAAATAAAGTGAAGAAATAATAAAAAGAGTATATTTGATATTTGAAATATCAATGATAAAAATAATTAAAAAGAATAAATAAATGAATAACTAACAGATTATAGAAATTATAAGTTATAAGTTCGTTTTTAAACATTAATGTTGAAAAGAAAAATCCATCTATTTAGTAATAAATAATATTTTTAATTATTTAAATATATATAAATATAATATTTAATTATTACGTACAGAATACGGAATAAAAGACATATAAGTACCCAAAGTAGCTTTTGCAATAAAATGTAATAAATCTTGATATGGAATTAAGCCATCAGCACAATGTGGATGATATGTACTTCCAACATGTAGAAAACTGCATGCGATTGTTGTTGCACGTAATTGTTGTATAACAGAATCTAAGACATGAACATCGGTATTTCCAACAATACCATCTGTTACAATTATCATATCTAAAAAAAATAGAAAATGAAAGTAATAAATTAATTCTTTTAATGAATTACTTTGTTATATATTACTTTTTTATATATTAGAAAATTTATAATTTTATTATATATATTGAATTTAATTTTTAATTATTATTTATTATTAATATTATTATTTATTTATTTTTGATATTATTATAAATTGTTTGCAATATATATGTTAGGATGTCCTATAAATTTTTTTTCTTTTTTTTTTCCTGATACGAAATGAATACGCGATATTTGTTGTTTAAGATTGATTTATTGCATTATATATGAATCGTTCTATTTTATCACCTTCTTCCATTTCTCAGGAAAACTCATTATTCCTCTTTCCAAAATTGTTGGGACTTATTTGCAAAATATTCCTCGAGATGCGTTTTATTTCGCTTACGAATTGGAACCGTTTATCATAGAAAGAATTTTTTAATGATAGGAACAAGTAATAATCGGATAAAGCAAGATCTAAAAAGTTGGAAAATGTGGTAGAACGTCCTAATTAAACTTTAACAGTTTTTTTTTTTTTTGCCAACTTTTCTCTAACCAATGCAACACGCAATTTTGCATTGTCGTGATGAAAAAAGATGCCTTATTAATTCTCCAATTCTGACTATTTTTCTGCTATGGAAGCTTTCAATTTATTAAGCTAATTGTAGTATTTGGCACAATTGATTTTTCAGTTTCACCTTAAAGAAGGAGCTCATAGTTGACTATATCTTTCCAGTCCCACCAAAAGAACTTTCTTCGGATGAAGTTCAGACTTCGCGATAGTTGAAAGTTATTTTATTGTCCTGAGACGTTTTTCCGAGTACGTTTTCGATACATATTTTGACATAAAATCCAAGTCTCGTCTTCAGTGACAAGCCTCTTTAACACGTTCATATATGGATGACGGGCATGCTTTCCCGGAGGCCCCGTCACCCATATATGGGTGACGCTTTCTTTTTAAAAAAAATAAGATTTTAAATCGGAATTTTGAAAAAAAAATTAATGAAAATTAAAATTAAATTTTATTTTATTAATATACAAAATAAAAATATTAAAATATTTATATTATATTATATTTTTTATTAATTTATATTTACATTATATAATGAAATTTAAAATTAAATTTTATTTTAAAACAAATATACAAAATAAATATATTAAACTATTTACATTATATTATATTTTTTGTTAATTTATATTTACATTATATTATGATATATTGTGGTATTCATTAATCAAACACATCCGTGGTGATTTTGGGCATTTAGCACAATAAGTTGTAATTTTTTTAATATTCTTTCTCGCTTTTTGACGTTCGACAGTTTGTCTTTTTTTCAGATAACATAAAATACACATCCTTCTTATAGGTTTGCCTTTGTAATTTTTCCGAATCTCTAAATATTTTTTTCATTTTATTTTTATTGTTTTCAGTAATATTTTCTGAGAACAGCCATTTTTTAACTAAATGTTCTCGGAATTTTCTTATTTCTATTTTTTGATTTGTAATTTTTTGATATACAATATGTGCATTTACAATAATTATTCCCAAAAGGAAATGTAATGCTAATTTACGATACCATTTAATACTTTTTCGTATCGTTGTTCACTTCATTCAAATCGGTTACGAGACATTTTGCTTCTCGGAAATGAAAAATTATAAATAGGATCCGTTGACCAACATGTAATGAGAGGTGTCTGTACTAGACCCATCCAAATCATCAATGAAATAAATGTTTTAATTTCTTTGGAAGTGGTAGATTTCCATCTATTTATTTAAGCGTGATCGATCGTTTCACGTTGAAGCAATTTTTGTTCGGCATATCTATTGGTTTCTGTGACTAAAAGACTTATACTTGTTCATTTAAGAATAGTGAAAAAAACTTCACTTGGACTCATATCAGATAGCAAATCCAACAGAAGCCCACTTTTTCCAGTGAACGGAAATGACTGTTGCTTATTAGTAAAAGTCGTTCCACTGTATATTGTCAGTAAGGAATCATCAGTAATGGTTAATTCCTCTTCTTCGTTTATAGCAAGCTCTTCTAACATTTCGTCGAGATCTTCACTTGCATATGATTTCTCATCATCTGAACTTGAACTTGATGAAATTTTATTTGTAAACTTTTTTTTAAAATTCACTATTTCTTCATCATTACTTTCTTCACTATCATTTATATTTTTATAATGTGCATTCTGACTGTTTTTTGGTAAACTGTATCGTCGCTAAATTTTATTTATCTCGTCTATTTCTATTCTAAGTCAACTGCAAGACTGTCGCGAGTTTGGTTGTTGTTTTTTCCTAATTCTTACTTTTTTTGAAAATGCATACAAAAAGAGGTTGGAAGAACCAATCACCGCGTTTGAGGGCGGTTTCGAAGGATGGGGGTCAAGATTTTTGCTGGTTTTCACGGTGGTCCATCGCATAGCATGCAAATGTGACTTGTAAAGTAGCTATTGCCTGGTGTCTTTGTTAAATTAAAAATCTGGAAAGCATTAAGAAAACCATGCCCGCTCATAAATTACTATTAAACTAATAGAGGTATCTGAATTGTTGAAAATAAAGGCCAGACCTGACCGCTTTACAAGTGCTGTCTTTGCAAGCCAGCAACATTTGAGCTCCGTGAGGAACTCATCGAAATTACGCTGGGCGACGAACGTGTTAAAGAAGTCAAAATTGTCAACTCTATATCTCTTAAACCAATTGCGGTCATAATAATCGTACCATCATTCCCATTAAACGTTCAAATCTCGTCTACAGTATCATTTGCACTATTATCTTTTTTAAAACAATGAAGCATAATATGCTGTAAATGCTTTCTTTGATCATCCATATTGAATGGTGTAGAAAAAAATTTTAAAAAAGACTATATCACCGAACGATACTATATCAATTATATCAACGAAATGTACTTTAAAAGAACTGGGACGATTGAAATCGATGTTATAACGGCTAACAAATAAGCCTGCATGTTTATATAAAAATAGTCAGTTCCTAGCATGATGCGAAAGAAACTTATGGGATACTCTAATATATACATATTATGAGAATTATATTCTATATTTTAAAACCAATAACATCTTAGCAATAATATCTATAATATTTGTTCGTGCAATATGTTCGTGTACTAAATTAATTTAACATCTCAATGTTAAAGATAAATTGTATCATGTTTTTATCATTTTGATAAAAAATATTTTTCAAAAATTGAATATTTTAATATTAGATACACGAATTTCTAAAATAATAGAAAACTAATATAGATATAAATAACGTTTTTATAATTTTTTTAGAATAATTCCAATAATTTAAATAGTATTTTTAAGTTTTTATAATTTTTTTAATATAATTTATTTAATTTAATTATTTTTATAATATGCATGTTATAATTTTATTTTTAAGATCAAAAATTAAAGATAAAGAACAATAAAAAGTGCACATAAATAATTTTTTTATTACTTTTTGAAATTTTGAAATTTATAAACCGTTTTTAAATGTAATATCTTTTATTTAATTTACTCAAATTAAATAAAATATGCAATCTTAATTATATTTAATCTTAATATTGAATCATGTTAATTCTATTTTATTTTTAATTAATTTCAATTTAAAAAATATTATCATATGATAAATTCCCTTCTTTATACATTTATTTTGATTTTCTTAAAATATAAACATAAAACTTTTTCAATGAGTAACGAAAATATTCGAACGTTTACATTTACAATTTTTAATGAACTAAATATATATGTTAAAGGAACTTGTTTAAGACAATAAAAGATATAAAGAAGGAGGAAAATCTTAAGATTATGCTAGCAAAATTTGAAAATAATTCACCAATTTAGTATGCAATAGTTATAATACATTTATTATAAACACGCATCGTTAGTAGGTTAAAAAAGTATTCGAACACTTCATATATGCAGTATTATTTAACATTAACTCTTAGCGCTCCGCGCGTTTCTCGAGTACTGCCTACCAGCAATTTCTAAAATAATAGAAAACTAATATAGATATAAATAACGTTTTTATAATTTTTTTAGAATAATTCCAATAATTTAAATAGTATTTTTAAGTTTTTATAATTTTTTTAATATAATTTATTTAATTTAATTATTTTTATAATATGCATGTTATAATTTTATTTTTAAGATCAAAAATTAAAGATAAAGAACAATAAAAAGTGCACATAAATAATTTTTTTATTACTTTTTGAAATTTTGAAATTTATAAACCGTTTTTAAATGTAATATCTTTTATTTAATTTACTCAAATTAAATAAAATATGCAATCTTAATTATATTTAATCTTAATATTGAATCATGTTAATTCTATTTTATTTTTAATTAATTTCAATTTAAAAAATATTATCATATGATAAATTCCCTTCTTTATACATTTATTTTGATTTTCTTAAAATATAAACATAAAACTTTTTCAATGAGTAACGAAAATATTCGAACGTTTACATTTACAATTTTTAATGAACTAAATATATATGTTAAAGGAACTTGTTTAAGACAATAAAAGATATAAAGAAGGAGGAAAATCTTAAGATTATGCTAGCAAAATTTGAAAATAATTCACCAATTTAGTATGCAATAGTTATAATACATTTATTATAAACACGCATCGTTAGTAGGTTAAAAAAGTATTCGAACACTTCATATATGCAGTATTATTTAACATTAACTCTTAGCGCTCCGCGCGTTTCTCGAGTACTGCCTACCAGCAACTCCGGCACATTTTGATTTTATTTATTTTATAAATATACATTTTTCTATTGTAAATAAAAGATAAATTTTAAATTTTGTAATCCACGGTGTGATATCTTTGGTAACAATCTCCCATGTGCATTCTGGATTTACTTGGGCAAGTGTCATAGTATTCATTTGTTTGACGTCTGCCATTCAATTGTTCCTTTTAGAGCACACAACGCAGTTCCTCTTTGCATCTTTCCTCATTATGTGAAGTTATCCGTTTAATCTGATTTCAGAAATTG